TAATTTGCCACGTTGCTCATGGTTTTAATAACTTACCGAAAACCGGTTGTACTTGTTAACTTAAAGAGGTCCACCAACACAGCCTTCTTCATCTGTCTCCGACTTCCCACTTTTCTCTTTCCTCTTGCTGCACGTATGTACATTTTACCAGAACCAGAACAGGAGGAGTTGGATTGAAAGTTTGAAACTCAACCCAAATCCATCCAAATCTATTTTGAGATAATCTCAATATTTAGATAGTTCTAGCCGGTAGTTTTTCAATGAAAACTTAAAAAAATATTAAGCCTCAAATATATGAAAGCATTGCATCTGGTTTTTTTTTATTTGATAATTATAAATTATGTTATAAGTAAAATTTAATATAAAAATTTAGTTTGAATTTCACACTTTAATCAATTATTTAAGTATTTTAGTGTTTATTTTTTTGTTAAAAATAAAAAAGTTTACATCCAAGTTATATATTATGTGACAAAAAAATAAAAAAAATTAATTTTCATTATACAATTAAAAAAAAAATCCCACACCCTAAAATTGTAACGGTTGTTTGAAAAGCTGTATTTGGGCTTGGAAAATCCATTAAAATTTCCAACTTCTCCAGCATAGAAGATCGAAACCCAGATGCGACAAAAAAATAAAAATAAAACAAAGACAAAATCTAATGCTTGAGGCTTTCTATATACTTGATTTCCTTCTTGTTGCAGACCCACCCACCTTCCTCTTCGCTTATTTATACTTTTGTGCCAATCCTTAAGAAGTAAATCTTTTTTTCTTTTTTTTGTGCATCTACGTTTCTAGATTCGATCCCTCTATTGATAGAGCTTTAAAGTTTGAAAATTGATAGAAAAGAAAAGCTCCGACCGGCAGACAGAGCTCACCCAACGAAAATCTTTTCTTTTGGCATGGGTCACTCGTTACACGAAAATTTATTAAGTAATTAACTAATTCACATTCAAACCAAATAAAATTTAACGAGTGGTAGATTTTTCTTTCGTAAATTTTAACAAAATTACATTATTAGAACTTGAAATCAAAATTTTTTATTAAATTAAAAAATTTTTTTACAAACCCATCCCCTTGCTTGTGAGTACCCAACAAAATTTACCCTACCCCATAATTTATTTAATTTTAGATCTAGAACGAGGAATATAACTGTTGATGAGAGCAGAGAAAAAGGTAATTTTTGAAGAGAACAACAACAAAATAAAAGAGTAAAGATGCAAATCAGATATTAATTTCATAATTTGCTTCATTTAATAATATAAATTTTGTTAATTTTTATATAAA